TTTTACCTGATGAGATCTGATTTAGCATTTTGTGTTCCTCCTAAACAACTGATGACATCATGGACATCTGAAACAGCTGCATTTCCAAAACTACCCTATGTATTAGTGATGGTCTCAGTTGTTGCAATATGCAGTAAACAAGATCCAAGATGCAGTTGTCAACAAGAACTGAAGTAGTAACTGATTTTCAACTATTTCAATTGAAAATGTATTTAGGTATGATCTTGTACTCCTTGTGTACCCCAAACACTATATACACACAAACACTTAAAAACGTGTATAATAATACATATAAAATATTTAATATGCCTGTATGTAGTAAGTGCATATATATTTTTTATTTACTGTTCGTGCATCTTTTGTTTTCTGGAGAGTTAATTGCTTTATGAAATAGTATGAGAATACAACATTTTAAATTTGGACATCTGCAATAAAACTAAACAATAATTTTACCACTCTGAAGATTCTGCCTTTTTGTCTGGTTTTGGTTATAGAAAAGTAAGTTCATACAGAAAATCGGTGTGTAACTTATGTAGGACAGCTGGAGAGGGAATAAAGAGTTAACCGCCACTTCTCCCCCAGTATTTTTTTTAAGCAAACGTGTTCCAATATCGCTGCAATACATTATAGTACCACAGAAATCTTGGGATTAACTAAAGGGCATTTTTTATCCCTTCAGTAGAGAGAACCTAGCTGCATCACACACACAATGAATTCTATCTTCAAAGAGGAGGTGGCAAAACATACTAGTCCTGTCCCTTTTCTGATTCACAGAGCAGCACAGAAATTATTCTAGATGGAATGCACTTACTGCCATATTGACTAAACTGTTACAGTAGTTGCAGTTTACAGTATGATATCTAATGGTTAGTTCAACATACACACTGTCAAACTGCAAAGAGCCTAACTCCAGCAGATGAGCTGCCAAAGTCACCCTACCTTCAGAGGCAGTCCTTCCTGTAAGCCACTGACAAATGCCACAACATGTTTTGACAGCATTAGCATATGAACCTCTGCCATAAGACTAAAAACAACCGGCATCACTGTAAACTGTATGAGTTAGCAGATGGCTACGGGAAAAACAGTATCAATCAAGTTCAAAATGTCTCATAATGCAGTCATGTGAGTCATTTTGCACCTACAAATGTAATGCTATCCAAGAATACTATTTGGTAAACACAAGGTCACTTGCACAGACATTAGTCAAAACCAGATTCTTAATTACCACATATGTATTAAATTCCCAACAAGTGTTCAAAAATACTATTTTGCCTTTTTTTAATTACATAGGTGAAGAGCCACTTTACAATAAATTTAGGAACCAGACTACCAGATGCAGTCGTCACAGATCCCTAAGAAACTGACTTACTCATTAGTCTCCATTATGTAGCAAATGTCATTGCTGTAGAGATGCAGAGTGCTTAGCAAAGACAGAATGTTATTCATATAGATGTGATACACTAATTAGAGGACTGCAGCAGTTGCCATATAAAAATGGCATCATATACATGGCCAGGCAGAACAACAGATCATTCGAAAATATGAAACTGGCTATGTTTTTTAAAATGTACTTACACATTTCTATAATGCCAAAAACACCTCCAACTTTCATCTACACCAGAAAATTTTAGAAAAAATTCCCACTGGTGTTACCACCAGACCCATCATTAGCACCAGCGGGAGCCCTAATATAGACAAGGCTCTGGCAGCTCTGTTTTTAACCATTGTAGGGCTTTGTTAACACAGTGGCAAAAATGCTAGTAAATGCCAGAACCTAATCTATGCTAATGCTCCCACCAGTAAAGAACCAGGGGGAGCACTGATGCAATTTTTGTTAATGGACTGTTTTATAATACTTAAATACTGCACCTACAAAATGTGTTTGCTGCGGAGAAGGGACTGTTAAATTTCAATTTTGAAATTATGCCCTTTTGGAAAGGCAGCACTTCAGTACTTTTGATGTTCATGACATACACTGGTTTGAAAGCACTGGAAACTGAATTTCAACAGTGTAGCTACAATATGACTAACAGAAGGGCAAGCTGACCCAGAAAGCTCTGCCACCTCTGGGTGGAAAGGCATATGTTTCATTTCCATGCCCATTCAGACCTTGGACGGTGAATAACAAAAAATGGCCCCGGTTTTGATGTGTGTGTATCCAGTAGTGTAACTGGACTGAACCCATAAACTCATTTTATGTAATCCAAACATCCATTACTTGGTAACAACAGCTTTTTGTCATCATACACCCAGGATAAATTAATATGGGATTTTTTCCAAAAGCACCTAAGGCTGACATTTTCAAGAGACTAAGGGAATTAGACACTTAAACCCTCTTGAATTTCTAGTGGATTTGGGTCCCTAACTCTTTTGGGAACGTTGAAAATCCCAGCCTGAGGCACCTTTTGAAACTCATTAACTGTGGGTCCAAAGGATAAAATCTCTTCAAACTTGTTTCCCTCTCAATACTGCAAAATGGTTACAAATTGAATCAATTTCTTTAACAAGGAAAAGGTGAGAGAGGAAGCAGATTTTCACATCAGGCACTTAAATATATAAAATTAATAGTTTCCCAGTAGACAAAGATGCCTTTGCCAATGAAACATCCCTCTTTGCCCTTACTTCTTATTCCAAAGTACACTTTGACTGTTTTGTATCATTCATGGTGACACAACATTAGATACATTTGCAGAGAAAAAGAGTATTTTGTGCCAGAGAAGAGATTGAGGTTAAGCTCAACAAGTTACTAACTGGGTCTGTTACGTATTCCAGAGTCTAATTCAGTTTCCCTGAAACATAACCTCTCTTTGGAAAGTAGAACTACTGCCCTATCACAGTCTACTCTCCCCACAAAGTATACACAGATGTGCAAGAAGAAACCACTGAACAAAAACCTGTGTGCTACTTTTGGCAGCAATGACTAGTACAAATTTATTCCCAGGAGAGATGGAGCAGTCATGTACAGTTTCTGGCTAAATAACTGAAGGCTTAGTGAGTAACTACCTTCATTAAAGCCAATAAAATCCTTCTTCCACAGAGACTAACAGGCTAAGCAGCCTTGAAATGGGAGTCTAGTCTCTATTGTAATATGAGCCTACAGTGGAAATTGCACCAGTTGGGGAGGCAGCAGCAGAAGCTCTCCAGCTTCCCCTAAATAAGAGCAGCAGCTCCCAGAGGCACCAGCATCAGTCCCAGCTACTTTAAAGATAGGGTTTAACCTGCAACAATCTAAAACCTGGCTCCAGTCCCAGCTCCTGCTGGTGTCACCTTTATAAATAGCCCCAGACAAAGGTCCCACTGGCTCGTGGGGGCAGAGGGGGATGAGGGCTGGAGTTTAATGGACACAGGACAGACTCATAGTGCAGAGGTTGGGGGCCTCTGCACTGTCACATGCTAAAGAAGAGGGTCTCCGCTCACAGCCTGAGCTGCTTTCACTGACCTCCCTTCACAGCCTGCAGACTGCTTGGCCCACGGGGACTTCCCCGCACATTAATGTTGAGCAAAAACTCTGGGGAAATAAAGGGATAGAGGGCAAAAGGCACCCACACCAGTTGGGTACACACATACGGGCGACAGTTACAGAGGACAGCGAGGCAAACACACACTAGGGGGCAGGTTACAGAGAAAAACCTGGCACCCACACGTGCGCATACACACACACACACACACACACACACACACACACACACGGAGGCGCAGGGTTAGAGGACAGCCAGGTACACACACATTGGGGTGGGAGTAATAAAAGGCGGGTGCACGCCACCAGTGTGTGTGTGTGTGTAAATAGACAATAAGTACACACACCCAAGGGGAGGAGTATTGAGGGCAGGTACACCCCCACTCGCTGGGGGGTGTTACTGAGAGTGGGTACACACCCACACCCACGGGGAGGAGTATGGAGGACCAGTACACAACTGCAGGAAGGGTGGGTGCACATAATCCCCAGGGAAGGTACCAAGGGAGGGTGTGTACACGCACACGACCAAAGGCAAGAGAGATACCAGGGACAGACGTACATACATACCCACACACACCCTCGGGGAGGGCGGAGATACCAAGGGCAGTTGTGTACACCCCTGGGGGTGGGAGAATACCAAAGGTGGGTGTGTACACACGCACGCACACACCCTGCGGGTGCCAATGGCACATGTACACTCACACCTCAGGGGCAATGATAGCACGTGTAAAAACACACACACACACACACCCCAGAGCACTGATGGCATGTGAACACACATCCGTGCACCAGGGAAGGGGGGACAACACACCAATGGCACGTATACACACACACGCATGCCGGGGGGACTGATGGCACATGTACGTACAAACACACACACCAGGGCTACCGATGGCACGTGTACATACAAACTGACACACCAAGAGTACCAATGGTGTATGTATATGCAGGCATGCATGGACCAGGGTACCAATGGCATGTGTACATGCACTCACCAGGGGTACCGATGGCGGGTGTACATGCAGGCACTGGGGTACCAGGCACTGATGGCAGGGGTGTGTGTACACACACACCAGGGGCACTGATGGCGGGGGTGCATACACACACACCCATACCCCGGGGGGGCACCGACAGCAGATGTGAGTACACCCACACCCATACCCCGGAGGGCACCGACGGCAGGTGTGAGTTCACACACACACCTGCCGTCGGTGCTTCCGAGTATAGGTGTGTGTATGCATACACACCCATACCCCGGGACACCGACGGCAGCACACACACACCCATACCCCAGGGGCACCGACGGCGGGTGCGTGTACACACACCCCCATACTCCTGGGGCACTGACGACGGATGCGTGTACACACTCGCACACACCCGTACCCGGGGGCACCGACGGCTGGTGTGTACACACACAACCACACCGACCCCGCAGCCCTACGGCCGAGCGGGGCGGCCGCTCTTCCAATCCCAGCTGCCCCGGTCCGGCTTGCCCTCGGCGCCCCGCAGGGAGGCGCTGCCTCGGCCCTGCCGGCGGACTCACGTGGAGAGTTTCCTGGTCCAGAAGAGCCCCCCGGGCCACAGCTCCTGCAGCTGCACGGCCCGGCCCAGGTTGCCTTTGATCTGGGCCAGCAGGCGGCTCGCCTCGGCCTCCAGCCGGTCCCCGTACGGCAGCAGCTTGTTGTAGGCGATCTCCTTCTGCGGCACGAAGCCCGGCGCCTCCCCGGGCGGCCCGCTCCCGCTCCCGGCCATGGCTGCCGCCGGCGCCGTCCCCCGCTGCTGCCGCCGCCCTCTGCGCCCGGCTCCGTCCTAACGAGTCACACAGCGGCTCCTGGTGACGAAGCAACCAACCGAGCGAACGGCCGCCTCCCGCTCGGGCCAGGTCACTTCCTGCGCGGGGGCGGGGGGAGCGGAAGGGGGAGGTGGAGACGGGGGCCTGAGATAGCTGGGGGCCGGGGCAGGGGACTGAGTGGGGCAGATACTCGGGGAGGGAGGAGTGGGAGAGGCACTTTAGGAGCTTTGGGGGCCTTGGGGCAGGCACTCTGGGGCCTGAGAGGGGCAGGGGAGAGTGGGGCAGGCACTGGGAGCCGAGGGAAGTCAGGGGCGGCACTCTGGGGGTCGGGGAGTGTGATAGGGAGATGTCAAGGATTTGAGGAAGGAGGTTGGGAAGAGGCAGAGCTGAAAGGAGCTCTGGAGGGAGAGGCAGAGTTGGGTATCTGAAGGGGTGCCAGGAGTAGAGTCTGAGACAAGTGTGGTGGGGATTGTGCTGGAGAGGGACAAGAGAGAAGGGGCTGAGTCACTGGCTGCCTAGCAGTGCTGACCTGCCCTAGAGCTCTGTCCGGTTTGGATTCATTCAAGTCGCTCTGGCTTGTTAGGAAGAATTTCGCTTGGCATTTGAATGAGGCCATTTAAAATTTCACTTAAAAAGAAATCTTAATGCAAATTGTCCCACCCTGACAGCCCTTGACACAGAGTGTGGGAGAGGAATACTCAGTCCTGCTTCTGTGGCATCCACGCAAATATGGTATTAATGACAGTGTAAAACTGTTACCCTCATCTTCGTGGCAAGTGAGGCAAAAGATAATTTTCCTAATTACAAGCTGTAGTGACATTTTGTGCCAGAGCTTAAGGGAACAAGGGGATGGAATTTTGACTGAATTATCAAAGTATCTTTTTAAGAGATTTTAATTCCAACCAATATAAAGAGACAACTAAAAATGAAATATGCTAATTTGAGGACAATCTTGCTATTGAAGAAATCAGCATCAGACATTGTAGGACTGCAGGATCCATTCACAGTCTGTAGTAAATATATATAGAGAGAGAGCGCTGTGCAGTTGTCTTAACTAAGATTAAATGCCCAAGAGGTGTAATCACCTAAAATGTGACTGCGCTAGTAGTGGTGGGATTTCACCAGTGTAAGAATCAATAGTGCTATGCAGCCACAGTAATTATCCCATTTTGGGTGGATTTGTACCCCATGCTTACACATAGCACTTTAATCAACAATTGCAATTTCATGACCCTCTAGGTATCTGGTCTACAAGTTCTCAGCCCAGCTCCCTGAAGCAATGGCTTGTGAGACATTCCAAAAGGCTTCTGTGTGCTCAAGGGAATTGTGGGAAAAGGGGGAACCATCCATGTAAGTACCTGAATTAGACTGATTTTCAGAAATGTCAAGTGCCTGTAACTCCGACTGATGTTCAAAATCCACTTTTTGTGGCTTCGTGGTTTACCAAAAAGCAATTTAGCAAGTTTACCCTGATGTGAGGGCCAAAGTCACATTTGTCCTCCAACTTCTGTGAAATTGTTGGGGTTCAAAGGGAAATTAAATATTGGTGTTTCCCAGAAAGTATGAATTTTAAATAGGAATTGGGCATCCAAATCCATTAGGCATCTTTGACTTATAGTGTCCTCGGGCTATTCACTGACAATGCAAAAATCCTGGCCCACAGTTCATACTGTAATAATTCACAACCTCACAGGAGATTTTTCTGACAGACTTTGATCAAGTCCCCCTAAATAAAAGAGGTTGAAATAATTTTGTTTTTTATTAAGAAAAAATAAAAAGCAAGTCTGGCATTAGGAGACACTAGTACAAAATGGGTTGGATTAGACATTGATCTGCTGTGATAGGTGTTGTCACAGCATAAACTGGTCCTTTCAGGGTAGTTGGGCTCAGCCTTACTTTTCCCAGGTGATGGATTTGGGCTGGTGGTTGGTCAGGTGACCAATCATCATGGGGAATGGGGGTGCTTCCTATAAGAGGAAGCCTGCTAAGTTAGAAGGAAAATCAAATAAAATTAATTTTAAAATAGTTTCTTTAGGAGGCACTGGTCTAGAAAAGAGCTGGAGAAGGTCTTTCCAAAGCGAGAGGCCTGGAGTGGGACCAGCTGAGATCTCTTGTTCAAAGGTACTGAGAGAGAGTAAGAGAGAGAGAGAGAGATGGTCCTTGCAGTTCTGATACAAGGGTAGTTGAAGGAACCCTAATACAAATGGAATTAGGAGGCCTTGAGAAAGGGTTGATCCAAGAGGAGGTAGCGTAGCCTGAACAGGATAGTATGAACAGTTGAAGGAGTTGACATTCACGCTTGCTTAGGGGTATGGGCTTGGGGTTCCAGCTAGGGTATGAGGAGAAAGTCCCATTTCTGTTGTCAATAGAGCAAATGGACTGCTGAGCCCAAGGGGGGGTCTAGAAAAGTACCTATATAGCCCACTGATGACAAAAGCATTGTATGGACTTGAGGTTTGATCCACATGTCCTAAGGGGACACCTAGTATGAATTTATTGGACGTCAGTCTTATTTTGTGGGACTTCTGGTTCCATTTCTCCCTGTTTCCCTTCCTTCCCCCCTGCCCTGAAGTAGAGGTGGACTTCCTAATTTGGCTGGAGAGCTAACTCTACAAGAAACATGAGAATGGCCTATCCAAGAGTGGCAGATTGAAGCGCTAGAAGACCTGCAGAGAATGAGACAGTGAGTTAACTAGAGTGAAGAAATTGAGGCAGCAGTAGGGGTCTAATGTCAGATCAAGTAAGATTCTGTTACAGAGGTCCCATTTAATTATTAACTTCTTCAGTCATTAAAGTGGAGTTCAAATGGTGCCTGATTCTGCCACTGATTTAACGAGTGTAGTTTGAAGCCTATGTTGAGTGTATGACAAAAGTAACTGTTAGCTGTTACAGCTAGTTGTCTCCTAAATATATACCTCTACCCTGATATAACGCGACCCGATATAACACGAATTCGGATATAACACGGTAAAGCAGTACTCCGGGGGGGCGAGGCTGCGTACTCAGGTGGATCAAAGCAAGTTCGATATAATGCAGTTTCACCTATAACACGGTAAGATTTTTTGGCTCCCAAGGACAGTGTTATATCGGGGTAGAGGTATAATTAATTGAAATTCCTTTCAAGAATTACATAATTACCAGGCAGCAACTGCAAACCGATTAGATTTAAAGCTACTACTAAAGGTAAATTCAGTTTTCTGATCTTTACATTTGTACTAGTTCTGCTTATAAAGGAAAATGGCTGGGTCTGAATGCTGAAACAATGAGCAACAATTGTATAGCTATTGATACTGGAAGAAATGCAATAGACAACCTTAATTAAACATAAAATAAACAAAGACTATGATACTCAGAGATTGCTGTTTAATTTTCCAAAAGAAAAAAATCACACCGAATCCCTTCCTGACTCTTTCAGTGTTGTAAATTTATATTTACTAACACTCCACAATAATAAAACAAATAGGCGCAGCAAGAAATGGTGTGCGTCATGTTCACATATGTATCTGTGACCAAAGAGGAAAACTCTACTGGTTTGGCAAGGTCAAAAAAATCAATGCAGGCACTGTTAGTTTCTTTTAGAGAGAACTACAGACCTATCAGTACTGTCACACTTTTCAAAGCATGCCTGTTGCTATAATCGTAAGTATATAGGTCAACACTTTCAGACATGAGTGCCTAAAAGTAGGCATCTAAATCCATATTTATGGAAGTTCAGGGTGCTCAGCACCTCTGAAAATCAGACCACTTTATTAGGTGCTTAAATTATAGGTGGAACTGATAACAATGGCTACAGTTAAGACTACCTAACACTTTCTATTATAAGACCATCTTTTCAGTTGCTTATAACTTTTCCAACTTTAACCATTTGGGCTGAAATTTTCCATGCTTATTTTCTGCCTTAAGAGAATTTCTTTTAAAAAGCTTCAGTAAAAATGGCTTGTCCACTTCAGGGAATGAGGTAAGGATAAAAAATATTTTTGCCACTTTTAAAATAAATTTTCAACCATTTATTTGAAGAGCTCTAGTGCCTCTGGGGCTTTGGGGGGGCAGGGGGAAGTGGGATCAGAAGTATCCCCACATGAGGCAGTCCTGTGCTTAAAGGTGTGGTTTCTACCAGAAAGAGCAGAAGAGAGTGATACTAAACAAACCAAGTGATTTATTTCTTTTCATTATTAAAAATACTTAATTATTAAAATTTGCTTCTCTTTAGTCATGGTACGTCTACTTAGTTAAAACCTCCTGTGACTAAAATAATGTGTGTGGTGGGGAGTCACATCTCTGAACTGGCATTAAGAGAAAATTAATATTCCATCTACCATTCCTTGTTTCTCTGGCTTGTAAGTTGTAGTAATTTTTGGTAGAAAATGGGTTGGTGTTCACCATATTAACACATTCCTTTCTCTCACACAAGATCTTGATTCTATTCAGTAAAGGCCAGTATTACCTATAGACATCAGCCAACTCATCATACACATTACTACAAAACAAGTGGTAAGCCTTGTCTATTCTAGAAAAATAACACACTGCTGAAAAAGGAAGACAGCAAAGGATGCAGCTGAATACCATGGTGCTAACACAGTATCGCTGCAAGTTTAGACAAAGACAAATGGTGTTCCATACTCATTCAGAAACTGAAGTTAAAAGCTGCATTCTAATGTTTAAGTATGAATCTAGTTAAAATGTAATTAGGTATTTTAAGAACTCTTTGAAGTTTAAAAATTAAAATGGTTCCTTTGTGTCCCTTTACCCAATTTGATACTCTCCTTAGGAAACCCAAAACGGTAAGCCACTGATACCTGTCTGCTTCAGCAAGAGCGAGTTTTGCTGGGGCTTAAACTGTCAGCTTTTTGCCCCACCAGTCTGTCCACCTCATCAGCAAACTTGAGATTTTGCCCATCTTCAGCTTACCTTGCAGGTAACATACAGTGAACCCTAGTTCCTGAATTCCCCAGAGATGTATCTCTGCAGTGTCCAGTCC